AGAGAGAGAGAGAGAGAGAGAGAGAGAGAGAGAGAGAGAGAGAGAGAGAGAGAGAGAGAGAGAGAGAATTGGTGGTGGATGGGGATGGAAGTGCTGGGCGGTTGGATTATTGGGGGGGGTGGGGGGACTGTATACAAGTGAGCTCTGAATGGAGAAGTTGCGGTTTGATTTATGCCTCCAGTGCGTTGCAGACCTGAAGCTGGGATGGGAGATTCTCCTGTCCTGTGAGGTTATCTTGGCGTCATCGCAGTTTTTGGCATTTTTTTAAGAAAATGGCTTTATTCCTTCTTTCCTATTTAAGGGCCACGGCCTTGAGATATCATCTTTGAACTGACCGGCCCCAGGTAAATTCAGAGTTGTTTTTCACTCAGCTGATTCCACTGGAATTCGAACTCAGGTCCGTATTTCAACAGTTCATGGGCGTACCAACTGAGCTAGGCCAGTTGGTGAAAAGGCTCTGTTGACCCAGTCTGATAGTTGAAATGATGCCGAGTATTATGGGATGGGCGGACTTTCATTGGACGCATTCATCTGAGAGGCCCTGACACCGTAAAGGTGCAGCTGCCTCGCATTGGAGCTGCACAGGAGAACGGAGGATGAGAAAAGGAGGGATGGCGAGGAGGGGGGAAGGTTGGAAGATAGATAGATAGATAGAGATAGAGATAGATAGATAGATAGATAAATAGAGAGAGAGAGAGAGAGAGAGAGAGAGAGAGAGAGAGAGAGAGAGAGAGAGAGAGAGAGAGGATAGCTCTGATAGCATGTGTAGCGGATGAATGGCTTTGCAAATGGTCTGACAATGCAGATTCCGGCTTCTACCCACACTGATTGGTGTGGAGGAAGCTTTTCAATCAACTCATGCTTCTCTCTGTCAAGATTATGTAGTCTGCTTTAGAATTTGAAGTTGCCGGGGCAGTGTGTAATTATGGATGACATTGGCCCCTTCCTTTTTCATGGGTCAAGACTGATGTGCACTTCTCATCTGATCTGGCTTCATTATTTTGATGTTATCATGGGCCGGTTATACTGGAGTCTATCTGGTAAGCAATCTTCGGTGTGAGAACTGTCTCATAGAGAGAAACCAACGTTCGGATAGGAACCTGACGAAAGGTGGTGGAGATGCTCCCATCATGCATCTCATCATTACACCTCCATGTTGTTAGTTTTCTAACTTATTCTGTGAATGCCTTACAGGAGGCAAGGCGCATGCAGCTCGATGAGCATCTTAACACTGGTAAGCTGACATCGTTTCTGTTCTCTTTTCGCCATTTGTGAATCACGTGTCCTTTTTTTTTTTTTCTCTCTCTCTCTCTCTCTCTCTCTCTCTCTCTCTCTCTCTCTCTCTCTCTCTCTCTCTCGTCGCGTTCT